TAAATATTCGAATTGAGGGGAGCGGAAAAGACGGCAAGCAGTTCGGAGTTCTTTGAGTGGTCCTGCAGTCCCGTGAACGGCGAATGGCAAAAAACGCGACAGCAAAGCCAAAATTGCAAACAAAAGATAAAATTAGATATAATTAATATTGAGCAAAAATAAAACAAACAGAAATTGTTGTGGATGACTTATCCTCTGAAATAAACCATCTGATTTAGACAAACGCAAAAAACAAGCAACACCAGAGACGCCGCAGGTCGGCAGGCGCGGCAGGTCGAGGTGCTAAGAGGTGACATCTCTGTGGGTTGTTGTTTTCGCCGCGGTTTCGGGTTACGTCTGTCTTCTCATACCACTCAACGGTCATAAGCCAATTAAACAAATCATTTTAGTTCCAATTAACTCTACATCCACCACCAAAAACGCCTTTTACTGGGGGATACAGCGGGAAGCCCACCCTGTGTCTCCTGCTCATTGCGGGGGGTGCTGTGGCCCCCTTCCGCTGCTCTACGACTGGGCTTTTTTGCGCTGTGACAGCCTTCATGTGCCCTTTATCCATGGATCGTGTTATGGCTTAGTGCCACATGCAGACGGCGCAAGCAGCGGCAATGGTGTATGGCAGCTTTCCTGGTGTTTGCAAACGTCTCCAGAGCCAGTGGCTTGGTTGTGGTGGCGGTCTGAGCGAAGGGTCGATGCTGGTGTTTGCACGGGCGATGAAACATCATTTCTCCTACCTAAACCAAAATAATAATTAATTAATTTATTAAGTTGTTTAAATGCGAACAAACACGGTGGATATGCCCCAGCTAGTCTTGAAAAAAAGTTGAACAGAAGTTCTAGGTCCAACGGTTCACAGGGTTTAGGGTTTCGGGTTTTATGGTTTGGCGATTGAAACAGGATCTGATGCCTGATCGACCTGAAACTGTGTTTTCAATTTCTGCTGGAGTGCGGGCTGGTCTCTGGCGGCCAAGTTCCTGGCGGCCAATGAATGGGGTAGCATTTACCTGCAGTGTTAATATATGCGGGGGAGTGGTGCGTGGATATGCATACATAGGACCGTCATGAGCTGCAGCAGAGTGAACACTTAAGACGAAAGTTTTAAAAAATACTGCTGATAATCTCCTCTCCATCCTTTAAATGCCCCAAGCACCGAGGTGCAATGGCCTGAGACTGATGTTCAGTGGTGGTGACCTCTGGCGAGTTGCTATAAACCCTGCTGCTGCTGCTCGTGCAGAGCGGCTGTAGATGACAGCCTGTGTAAACGTCTTGATCTTCCTAGCTAGTTTGTTAAATTAAAATGTGGACTTCTTTTTCCTCTCAAAAGCATCAACTTCTTGCTGAGGAGCCGCCTGTACAACTCTGCGTCGTTGAGTTCAAGGCGGCGGTTCGACGAGTAGAAGAAGCTGAATTTCAGAGTACTATTGAACAGAATGATGAATTGTATTCAAGGAACAGACAAAATATGAATAATAAATAAAATAGATACTTTTTTATGAACATCGTTGTAGGCAATATTAAATATTAAATTGGATGAAATGCTTCTCGATCCACATTGATTGCAGAAAGACTTCCTGTATATCTGTTCTTGGGCAGCTTAGTTATACAAGACGAGCCAAGGCATAAATATACGTTACTGCTGCAACAATGCATATATATATATATATATATATGTATATATATATTTATATATATGTACATATATGTATATATATATGTATAGATTATTCCTGAAGTCTCGAAATCCATTCTTGGGCAC